AAGTGTTACCACTTAAATTCATTTGACCGTTGCATTTGTTGGACTTCTATACTTTCATGCTACTTTTTCCTTTTTTTTTATTCATGTTTTGGTTTGTAGGACGAGGAAGCTTCTCCTTTCATAGAAAGAATTGGGTACTATCCTCCCATTAAAAGGATCATTTTAGTAATTTGTACATCATCGTGGAAGCTAAAAATGAAGCATGAGGAGAGCTAAAAGGATTTTCATCCTGGTTAAAAAAAAAGAAAAAGAAAGGATTTTATCCTCATTGTTGTTAGTTCTCTAACACACTACTTTCTTAAAAAAACAAATTGGGCTGCACCCTAGGGCCTAATATATTATGGTTGGCTACATATATTACGTAAAAAAATTATGTAGTTCTTTTTTGAACCAAAATATCCCCTTATCCTATAAACTAGTTGAAGCCCGTGCGATGCACGTTTTGTTTGAATTTTTTCAAATAATTTTTTATACATATATTTATGTGCTAAAATTTGCTATATATTTAGATAAAATTCCTGATATCAAATAATAATATTTTTTATTTTTTTAATTTAAACTGAAAAATCTCATTCGCCAATTTTGCTTACATGGCATTTAAATTAATTAATTATAATCTCGTATTTAATTGACTACCACCAAAATTTATTATCCTCATTACGCGCTAAAAAAATTAAATCCTACGTGGCTCTCTAAAAACTTGGGAAAAAAGTGATGCAGGATTTTTTATACATATTTGAAAAGATTATTTTCATGAATTAAAAGATATTTTTTATTATAAAATTTAAATTCTAAATAACTATCCATAATTTTTTTTTGTTTGACACTTGATTATACTCTATTTTAAAGTATCTCATTATTTATCAGATATTAGGATTAAATTTTTAATGTGAAAAGATATTATTTTGTTTTTTAAATAATTTAAATTATAAATCCTTTTTGTACTTTTGTTTGTATAACGAAAATGTGTTGTTCATCTATACATATATAATTATAGTACACTATTTTTCTTTCACAAATAATAACTTATACCATCATTATTCTTTTCCCCCGTATCAACTTTATACAACAAAAAATTAATAAATTAAACCCAAACCTATATGGTAAATAAAGACGGTGGGAGAAATAGTAAAAAAAAAATATGAATTTATAAATTTTTTAAATAGTTAAATGAAAAATATATACAAAGAGTGTTGCATGACTGAAATTAATCTAATTGAATAAAATTAAATTTTTATAATGAAATTTCATTATCACATTTGATTGCTTGATATGAAACTATTACTCAATCAATCATTATAATATAGAAGTTGCCAAAAAAATAAATTGTAATAAGATAAGTAGTATATTAATATCATGATTTTTTGAACGAATGAAGCTTAGCATGAGCATAATAATGTGTACGAATCATTAGTATCATCCCTAATGAAAAACTAAAGTGTTAAAAAGTTAATAATTACTCAAAATAAATCTAGAAGGTTGATATAAACCTCAACCTTTCATGATAAAATTACATTCCATCCACCAAAATATTGAAATCAATGACCCAACCAATGGTGAGCTAAATAACGTTTATACGAGGTGAGTCCAATGGTGAGCTAAAAAAACATTTATAATGGTGAGTGGACTGAGATGGGAAGTCACGTTTATACGAGGTGAGTCTAATGGTGAGCTAAAGAAATGTTTATAAGGGTGAGAGAGAATGGGATGAGAAGTGTCCGGTTTATATAAGGTGTTTGACTTTAAGGGCATTCCCAACAATAAGCAAAAATTGGTTTCCTCATTCTCTCTCTATCCACTTTCTCTCTCTTCCAAACCATGAGCATTTTTCTGATCATATTTTTATCCTACCAATGATCCAAAAAAAAAAAAAAAAAATTTCTTCCCCATTCTCTCTCTAGTACATCTTCTCTCTTACTTTTACTAATACCCTCTTATATTTCTCTCTACTATATTATTTTTAATTCTTTTTTTTTACTTGCATTGTGGACTCTACATGATTACTATTCATCTTAAACAATGCTCATCCTATGAGCAATTTTCATTTTTCTCATGAGCATTTTTAATTTTGCTCATTAATGTAAGTCATTTTTGTTTTAATTTCACCAAAAGTTTTTCTCATGAGCATTTTTTTGCTCATTGTTGGGAATGCTTTAAATATGTGCTATCATGAAATTCATGATAGACTTCATAAAATTCTATCAAGAAAATAATTTTTTTTAACTTTTTTATTATTATATCATGATAGTTCATAAATTATATCTTGTAAATCAATTTTGTTTATTTTTTTTTATAATTATCTAAAAATGAATAGATTTGTATTCTACTTATTTAATCTTTAGATTATATTATATATATTCTGTTTTTTAAATTATATATTTTGCTTTATCCAAAAATATTTATGTTAATGTATGGAATATCATAAATCAACTACCCTACTTTATCATCTATTAATTAAATTCTCAAAAAAAAAAAATCTATCTTTTTGCTTTACGTCCAAAAACGTTTATGTTAATGTATGTAGCATCATTGTGCTAAATCAACCTACTTTATCATCTATATTAATTAATTTCTCAAAAAATATCTATCTTTTGTTAAAAAAATTTGTGTTATCTTTTTAATTTACTTATCTATGTTAACTTAAAAAAAATTATCTAATTTATTTTAATTTATAATAATGCTTGAATATAAACTCTCAAATCCTATTCGTTAATTTTTCTTATGTGGCAATTGAATTTCTTAATTCTAAAATAAATTGTAAATCTGTTTTTTCATTTGTCGAAATAATAACTTTGCTTATGTAGCGCTTCAAATGTTTCCAAAAAATGCCTACTTTATTTATATATACTAGATGTAAGCCCGTGTGATGCACGGTTCTAGTAAATTATTTTATTTAATATAATATTTTGTACACTTATGAAGATCATTCATGAAATATTTGGATAAAATTTCTAATATCATAAGTTTTTTTTGTTAATTTAACACTAAAAATATATATTTCGTTATTTTATTTATTTTACGTGGCGCTTGAATTTAAAATCCCAAATATATAATTAAATATACATTAAATAGTAAATTTATTGTACATGACATTTATATTTCTTTAGGTGACAATTTAAATTTTTCATTCAAAAATAAGGGTATGTTCATGTTTACTGAACTGAACTTAATAGAGCTTAAATGAATAATTTATGAGAAAATGAAATTAAGAGCTGAACTGAATTGAACTGATTGAAGATGAATTGAACTGAACTGAAATTAAGTTGAAGTGAACAGGCCCTAAATGACAATTTTTTTTTATTGGTTAAAATAAGTCCTTTGCTTATGCCTTTTTATATATACTCATTTTGTTTCAAAATGTTAGTCTCGTTTAGAATCTTTTAATTATTAAAAATAAGGGAGAATCTTCTAAATTTCTCTCTTTATATAAGGACAAACATAGTCATATGAGATTTAGTTTTATTCGTCTCGATGAGTACATTATTAATATCTAATTTTTGTAATATTTACTGGAAAGCGATTAAATATATTTGCAATCAAAGATTTGCATCCATATATGTAAAAAAGATAATTATTAATTTTTTTTAATAGTTTAAATTTTAATTATTTACTATTCGTTGTTTTTATATATGTAGCAAAATTCTTAAATCTTATTCGTCGCTTTTTCTTAGGTGGCGAGTGAATTTTTTAATTCTAAAATAAATTTTCATTGGTCAAAATAATACCCTTTCTTACGTGGCGCGCCGAATTCTCTCCAAAAATGCCTACTTTATTTATATATTAGTTTTGTGCCCGTGCGATGCCCGGGTTGTTTATTGAATTTAAACATAAATTTTTAATCTAAATGTCAAATTTTAAAATATACCATTGATACAAAATTAGTTTATTGAATTTAAAGATAAATTAGCTTTTGATACAAAATTAGCACTTAACAATTATTCATGTTCTATGTAATGACTAATACTAATATTGGTGGAAATGTTCGATTCAATACATTAAAATAAATAAACAATTAATAAATTAAATAAAATAAATGTTCAACGCTCGTTGGGTTGACCCGAACCCAAAACTTTGGGCAAGGGTTGAACATTTCTTGACTCGTAACCTAAAGTGATGACCCAATCTGGGATGACTCATGACTCAACCCTAATTGACAGGTCTATGTAGTAATAAAATTCTATTAGTTATGAAGTATATTATTTTAACCGATTAGTATATATTATAAATAGATGTTTTACACTTTAAACTAATTCCTTCACTCCAAAAAAAAATAAAATATTATGACATAAAAAATTAAATTTATATGATAATTTTTTAGAATTATAATCTTATAATATTTTTGAATAAAATTATAATTCAATTTGTATCTTTGAAATATTGGTCTTTTATCGAAAATAAAATTCTAAACTTAAAATTTTATCCTAAAATTCTTTTATTTTTTTATATCTTATGAAGTCTAGTTAAATATAAAGACTAGAATAGACCCGGTCTACAATAACTTATTGTAGACCCAACCTTCTAGTATACCATACGAATGTGATTATATCATACAAAATGTGATTATATTACTACAAAAGTGATTATATCATCCTGAAACTGATACGTAAATGTATAGTAAATTTATCATTATAAAAAGTATCAAATAGTTAATTACATCATTCAAAAGATGATTTTTAAATTTTATCATCCTAAAGATAATTATATAATCTCATTAAATGATTTAATATGAGATTATATAATTCAAAATATGACTCACAAAAGGATAATTATATCGTCTAAAAAAGTGATTATATCATCCAAAATGTGATTATATTATTTGAAAGTGTCAAATTTTGGGTCTACAATAATTTATTGTAGACCGGGTCCATACAAGGCCAATTGCTATTTAAATCGCTCCAATGTGGCATTGAAGCGACACTTGACGATTAGTTGAAACGCCAAGTGTCGCAACGTCGTGACCTAGCTAAAAATTTAGCTTTATATATTAGTTATATGATATGATGATATGATATTAGATTAGATTAGATTTAAAATTAAAAACTAAAAATTAAATATCCATTACCACAAAGTCCATAACACAACTTCTGATGTTTCATACCGTACAATGCGACTACTTTCTAAAGGACTTAATTAACATATTCGTCACCTAAAAAAGGATAATCAGTGTAACCCAAAATAGGGTCATGAGTATAAAACGTAGACCTATCATACTTATTCAATGGTGCATCAATTTTCAATCTATGGACTAAATCAGGATTAGAGATAAAAAGACGTCCAAATGCAACCAAATCAGCATCCCCTTGAGCCACAGCTTCCATTCCAAGCTCCTTAGTATACCCACCACTACTCACAAAACTCCCTTCATAAGCATCCCTTAATTTCCTCAACAATTGAGCATCTGCTTCGGCTTCTTCGGCTGGCTTATCAACCACGCCTTGGGCCGTGAACCGGGGTTGGGTTACGTGGAGGTAAGCGAGCTTTGATCCCAAGTCGGATTGTAGCTTGTTGAGCCCATTGACAACGGCTAGGCCTAATGCTAGCGGGTTGGAATCAAGGGCGTCGTAGTGATCAATTGCTGGTGAGATTCTAACAGCCACCTTTTCAGCTCCTACGGCTTCTGCAACGGCTTGTACTACTTGCAATAAGAACCTTGTTCTGTTTTCCAATGGACCTCCATATTCGTCGGTTCGATCGTTGATTGCATCCTTGAGAAATTGGTCTATTAAGTAACCATGTGCTCCATGTATCTCTATTCCATCAAAACCTATGTACAAGCAAAAATTAATCATTTTACCAAGTAAAATTATTGTTTTCATGTTGGTAGAATGAAAAATGTATACCAGCACGAATGGCATTGAGAGCAGCGTGGCGATAGTCAGTGGCGTCACCAGGATTTTCGAAGTGTGGGTTCGAAACTTCCGAAATTTGAAATCATAATTAACAAAGGAATAAAAATACAATAATTAAATATTCAGTACATAAATAATTTCAAACTATGGATTACAAATAGATTACACATAGAAAAATGAAAAAAAAAAAAAAAAAAAGACTACAGAAGCATTCTTCGAGTCTTCATACTTTGGAAGCGTTCCAATACATCATCATCACTAACTCTTGAAAATAAATCTCTTTCAAGAAAAGTGACTAAATTATCATTCAATAGTTGATCACCCATACTATTTCGCAACTTATTTTTTACGTATGTCATTGAGGAAAACACTCGTTCCACGCTTGCAGTTGCAACCGGAAGGATCAATGCTAGTCTTATAAGCAAGTAAACTAAGTTGTAAGTAGTATGCTTATTTGTTTCAACAAGCATCATAGAAAGCTCATGAATACCCTTCAAGTCTCCAAACCTTGCATCTTGGCGCACATCATTAATATAAAATTGAAGCTCATGACGAAGTGCAGTCATCGTCATATCATTAGTTGGAAACTCTTTGGGATATAACTCAGCAAGTCTCAACAACTTTTGCATATCAAATGCCGCAAATGAATTGATCGGGTTTAAGCATGACACACAAATAAGTAACTCCATATTTTCTTCATCAAATCTACTATTGAGCTCTTGGAGTTGTAAATCAATAACACTTATAAACATTTCTACCCGAAATCGATGAAGATTTGAAACTTTGGCAAAGAAGCGTCTTGACCTTCCACGAGGAACATACATATCATCCATAGTAGGAACTTCTACATCATGTTTAACACAAAAACAAACCACAAGATGTAAAAAGTCTTCCCACCCATGGTCCCTCATTTGTTGTAATCCCTCCTTAGTCAATTTAACATATGTCATGGCATTAACAATATCTTGGTCCCCCTTTTGCAGAGCTTGACACAATTTATCAGTAATCCCAAATATTTCGGACATCAAATGTATCATAAATACAAATTCAAATGATTCAAATGTAGACATGACAGTGATAGCCTTCACGCGATCATCCTTATAAATCTTATTTGATCCAATCTTCTCAAGAACTTTAACAATAGTAGCATACAATGCGGTAACATTTGAAACAGTTTTGTAATGTGATCCCCACCTAGTATCACCAGGCCTACCTAAGCCATGTTCTTGGTTTAAACCTTGCCCACTTTCAATTTCTCCTAGTTCTAATGCTTGTAGAATATGTTGAGATTGTATTTCTCTTATCATTTCCCTTCGCTTACAAGAAACACCAATAATATTCAACAAAATAGCAAGTTGATCAAACAACCAAATACAATCATCATTATCCTTAGCAACAGCAACAAGGGTTAATTGAAGTTGGTGAGCAAAACAATGAATATAATAGGCTTGTTTTGTTTCATTCATGATCAAAGTCTTGAGACCATTTATCTCCCCCCTCATATTACTAGCACCGTCATAACCTTGTCCACGAACTCTAGACAAACTCAATGAATATTCCATAAGCAAAGACTCAATTGCACTCTTTAGTGACAAAGCAGTAGTATCCTTAACATGTACAATTCCAAGAAACCTCTCATTTATCTTCCCTTTATTATTGACATAACGCAAGCAAAGGGCCATTTGTTCCTTTTGAGATACATCACTAGATTCATCAGCCAGTATTCCAAAATAGTCATCCCCAATATCATCAATAAGAAGTCTAGTGGTTTCTTTGGCACAACAATTAATAAGTTCTTTTTGAATTAAAGGACTAGTCATTCGATTATTTCCCGGGGCATTACCTAGAACAACCTTTGCTACCTCACTATTATTTTCTGAAAACCATGTTAAGAGTGCAAGAAAATTACCCCTATTCCAAGATTCTTCACTTTCATTATGCCCACGACAAGCTAAACCTTGATTTAAAAGAAATCTAATACATTTCAATGAATAAGTCAAGCGAGATTTGTATTGTAGTTTAGCTTCCTTAGAATAAGTGCAAAGAGATTCAGCAACTGATGTCTTTGGGTTGATAAACATACTATATTTCTCATTAGCCTGATTATGGAAACTACCAATACCACCCACATGAACATCAAATCTACCAGTCTTATTCCATCCTCTAAATCCCCCTTTAATAAAGGAATCATTAACAGCCAAAGAATAATCAACTTTATCAGTGAACAAATAGCACACAAAACAAAAAGCCGCATCTTTCTCAACACTATATTCAAGCCACTCATATTTATCAAACCAAGTAACATTAAAACGGCGCATACCTCCAACTTTTCTTTGAGGAAAATTATGTGTGCGTGGATCACAACGTTTCTTTGTAATATAGCCTCTCCTTACGGCATCTCGATCATTAGGAGGATACTCCATAACTGGAATTCTTTTTCCAGGGTCATGTGGAAGAAGATCAACATCATAAATGCGAGTATCATCGGAGTCAACAGTAGTATTAGTGTTCTCAGGTGGTGGAATTGTTGCAGCAATAGGAACCTCATCATCATTAGGAGACACATGTTCTTCTATTGGAGGATCCCTTGAACTAGGTGAAGAACAAGTTGAAGACTTTTGTGACTTCCCGGCACGTTTCCAAAATGACTCTAAACTCATGGTATAATAGGTATATGCTGCTAGTCTGCTGCACACACATGATAAATGCAGAATGAAATCAATGAAATAATGAATGAATGATAAATCTAGAAGGCTAATTAAAACTATCGTAATTAAAGATTACAGTCAATTACTCAATTAGTAAACGAAATCTAGACGGCATAAAACGAAATAGCAAATGAAATTATGAAAACTAGAAGGCAGAAACGAAATACAGAAATTAGCATATGAATTGGCAGAAACGAAAGGCAGAAAATAGCATAGCATATGAAAATAGCATACGAAATACAAAAAAATCCCCAAATTGAGAACTTGAGAAGTAAATTAGATAATTATAACCAAACTTCAGCAATTTACAAAAAATTGGCAATTCGTAAATCGTAATGTATATTAGCAATTGAATTTAGCATATGAATTTCAATTTTCAAGTATTCAATGATTTAGCAAAAAAAATCCCCAAATTCACTTACCCCTACATACACCGATACACCATACACGGCTGTGAGGCTGGGTCTGGGTGAGTGGCTGACTGGCTGGTGCGCTGCCGGCCTGCCGCTGCCGCCGTGTTCTGCTGTCTGCTGACTCTGCTGCCGTGCTGCGCCGGGAAGAGAAGGAGGAAGAACGGGAAGAGAAGGACTGAAGGAGGAAGAACGGGAAGAGATTAAGAGAAGGAGGATTGGAGGAAGAAGTTAGGGTTTTGCAATTTGGGGGAATGAGGAAGAGGAAAGCGAACTCTGGAAGCAGGAAAGCTCAGTGCTCAGGAAACAAAATTAAAAAAAAAAGTGTGAGTTATTGGTTTTGAACCCACAAACTCTTGTGTGATGGGAGGTAAAAATAACCACTGGGCTACAACTTTACTTGTTGCCATATAATACACAAATATTCTATTTAAACCTATTTTGATTTTTTTTTTTTTTAAAAAAAAAATTTAAATTTTTTTCAAAAAATCAGTGGGTTCAATGAACCCACTTGAACCCACCCTAGTTCCGCCCCTGGCGATAGTGTTCGACAACCTCCGATATTTGAGGTGGAGTGAGGGCTTGTGGCGGAGTGCACTTTTCGTGTGAACCATCGGGCATTAAGATACGCCACTTTTCTGGTAAAACTTTATTTGTTGATGATATTGGCGCACCTCCATTAGGTTGATACACTATATAAACATCATACAATGTATAAGTACATAACATGTCAAAATATAGCTTTATACGAAGTATGTATATACTATATTTTTCCTCAAATAAATATGTATATATTTTGCCAAATTAGATGTTGCTCAATATGATAGATACTGTTGAAAGTAGACATAATTGTAACGAATTTATGCTTGTAGTGTCAATTTGTACATAATTGAAGAGGAGTGTTGTCACCATGATTAGAAACTCGACCGACGTGCCACAATTGAGAGAAGAAGATAGCACCCTTAGCATGAACTGAGTCTACTATTTTCTTCCATGCTTCCACTTGTTGCTCTGTGTAGATTCCTGGACAATGCGCGAACCTATGGCAAAATTATAAAATAAGTGGGTTAGGATTAAGTTTTCTCCGTTTTTGTTATTGCACATCATAAGAACTTTTACATTATTCATTAATCTTATTTTACCATTATTTATAATTTATCCATTAGAAAAAACATAATCATTTGTGATCTAGTTAAATTTGTCTCGAAATCTACTTTTTAAATACCAATTTTTTTTTTTTAATAATGTTTACAAAAGTATAATTGAAGATGTAATGATTACCCTCCGGCAGTTTGGGAGATGAGAGTGCCCTCAGCGATAAGTAAGCCACCAGGAGTGGAACGTTGGGTGTAATACTTCTCAAGTGCGTCATTTGGCATTTCATCTATGGCTCGGCTTCTAGTCATTGGCGCCAATACCACTCTGTTCCACAAAAGTTTCAAGTTTGAAAATATACATTGCTACTATCAACCAAGCAGCAATTAACATATTTACGTACTCTATCATATTCGTTTGGTATATTGTCAAAATAATGCATGTATTGAGAAAAATGAAAAAAAAAAGTGTTACATTTATTGAGTGAGTAGTTGTTTGTAAAAATTCAACTACATTTATGTGACTCTTAAAAACAATCTCGTACAAGACTTACCTCAACTTTCTGCTTAAAAAAAAAACTTTCCTTTTTTTCTCCGCCACTAATTATGATGACCTTCATTTTGATTTTTTTTTTAATTTTTTTTTTTTTTTTTATACTTGCATAACTTCAAAAATCAAAACCCATTACTTGAGGTAGCAGAAATATATAAACCGTGTCTCTATCTTCTTTAATCAATTCTTGGATTCTGTCACTAGACTAACACAAGCATTATTATTCCATTTTATCAAACCAGTTATGGATCTGTTCTTATTGACTAAACTGAACTGAACTTATTAGAGCTGAACTGAAATGAAATGAATATTTTATAAGAGAAGGAAATTAGGAGTTGAACTGAACTGAACGGAACTGAACTTATTAGAGCTGAACTGAACTTATTAGAGCTGAACTGAACTGAAGTGAACTGAAAATAATCGTATGAGAACATGCCCTATATAAGAAATTTCAATCTAAAATGCAATTATCATAGTCCATTATACAAGTATTAGGTTGTGACAACGCAACGCTTTTAGGCTAAAGTCAGGTCAGGCTTTCGGATAAATTGAAATAGGTTCGGGTCATGTGGGCCAAAGTTGGGTCGGGCTTTTATTTATCACCTCTAGACTAGTTTGGAATTTTTTGTGGACTATAAAATTTCTCAGCGTATGGTTTTAAAAATGGCATATTCTTAGGTGCACCTAGAAATAGGTGTAACAACAGCACAATATGAACATTAGATTTTCATAAAGTGAACATGAGCTTTCTTCTCCTCTATTTTTCTCCTTCGTTTTTTTTATTTTCTCTCTCCTTTGTTTTTTTAATTTTCACCCTTTTTTACACTGTTTTTGATTGAATTTGTTTCTTACAACATGAAAGTAGTATTAAGTATGAATTTTTTTGTGAATTTCGATTTTGTGCTTTAATTTCGATTGATTAAGGTTTATATGAATCTTTGAATTCACAAAGTATACTCTGTTTTTTTTTTTATCCTTCCTTATTTAATTCCTTTTTCCTCTGTTTTTTTTTCTATTTTTCTCGTTTTTCAATTTAACGATTAAATCTGTTCCTTACAATATGAAATTGGTTGTTTATCTAATTTTTTGAATTCATATGAATTGAATTTTTTTTAGCTTCGATCAAATTCATCTGTGTATGAATTTCATCTGATTTTTTGAATTTTTTTTATCAATGAACATAATCATGCAAAATATGAACATATATATAAATTCCCTTAAATGTGAACATTAGCTTTTCATAAAGTGAACATAGGCATAAAATATATGAACATATGCAGTTAAGAAAGTAAACATAACAATTCAAAATATGAACGTAAGCATTGATTTTCTTAAAGTGAATATAACCATTTAAAAGATGAACATATGCGTAAAAAAATATGAACATATGCATTTAAGAAAGAGAATATATGCATAGAATAAACAGACTTAATGAGAATATTTATGAACAACAAATATTTACTATATATGAATATTTACATTATCATTTATGAACATATAAAATATTACTATGAATATAAGACATGTAATTATGAACATAAATAATTGAAGAAATAAAAAATAATATGATTATGAAACATATGCATCATAAGTATTAAAAATATGAACCTATGCATTCAAAATATGAACCTATGCATTGGTTCATTTTTGAATGCGTATGATACTAAGGCTATGTTTGGATAACAAAAAATGGAAGGAAAGGAAGGGAAGGGAAAGGGAGGGAGACAAAGTTCCTTGTTTGGATAATATGTTGGGAGAGGGAATGGGAGGGACAGGGAGGGATCCATTTTCCCTCGTCCTTTAATAAAGGGGACTTGTTATTCATCGCCCGCAAATCTCTACATAAAGCCCACATTTTATAATTTTTTGACAAATTTGCCCTTTTTATAATTTTAACCGAAGATAAATTTTTCGCACTAAAAAAATGTGGAGCAGCACCGGATCGCCGAGGATCACCGGAGAATCGCCGTCGTCATCGGAAAACGAGGTTCGTAACGCATCGTAAAGACGAAATGGTGGCTGGCGCCTAGCCAAAAGGCCATGCCGTGGTTGTGGCGCCTAGCCAGGACGCCGCCACCGTGGTAACGGCGCCTGGTGGAGAAGCCGCGACCATGGTAATGGCGCGTGGCCAGGACGCCGGAGCCACGGCCAGGGCGCCTGGCCAGGACGCCGCCACCATGGCGGCGGCGTCCTGACCAGGCGCCCCGGCCGTGGCTCCGGCGTCCTGACCAGGCGCCCAGGCCGTGGCTCCGGCGTCCTGGCCAGGCGCCACTAGGGGAATTAATTTTTTTTTTATTTTTTAATTTAATCCCTTTTTTTTTTTTTTTTGTTTTGTTTTTGTTTTTTTTTTATTTGTTTGTTTGTTTTTATTTTGTTTGTTTTTCTTTTTTTTTTTTTTAATTTAATCCCCTTTTTTTTTTTTTGGTTTTTTTGTTTTGTTTTTGTTTTTTTTTTATTTGTTTGTTTGTTTTTATTTTTGTTTGTTTGTTTTGTTTTTGTTTTTTTTTTATTTGTTTGTTTGTTTTTTTTTTGTTTGTTTGTTTTGTTTTTGTTTTTTTTTTTGATTTGTTTGTTTGTTTTTTTTTGTTTGGTTTTGTTTTGTTTTTGTTTTTTTTTTTATTTGTTTTGTTTTTTTTTGTTTATTTGTTTTGATTTGTTTTTGATTTTTTTTTGCTTGTGGTGTTTTATTTTGTTTTGTTTTTTTTTTTGGAATTTTTTTGTTTTTGTTTGCTTGTGTTGTTTTATTTCCTTTTAATTTTTTTTGGAGGGAATTAATTTTTTTTTTTTAATTAAGTTTTTTTAATGCATCTTTTATTTTGTGTTTGTTTTTGTTTTATTTTGTTTTATTTTGTTTTGTATTTGTTTATTTTTTTTTATTATGGTTTTTTTTGTTTGTTTATTTATGTTTGATAAATTTGAAATGAAATGTGTGTTATTATTTTGTTTTTTAAATGTATTATGCGTTAAATATAAAAATGATATTTAGAAATTTAAAATTTAGAAATTGCGTTTGTGATAATTTTGTGTTAAGTGTATTAATTTAATCTTAATGTAATTATATTTATACGTTATATGTTATTGTTACAGGATTATGGTGGAGACGGAAATGATTACAGTGGGATTTTTGTACATGATGGCCTGTTCGAAGATGCTCAACAAGCGATTGATTGGGCAAAACAGGTTGCAATTAGATCAGGCTTTTGTTTAGTAGTAGCAACTCATAAATCTCAACGGGATGGTAGAATGGATCGCATTTTGAGATGCGACCGTTATCGCAAAAGAGAAGAACGAGATTTCAGTAAAGCGATTCGGTTTGACTCAAAGCGGAAAGGTTGTGAGTGTCAGTTCCGAGTTAAGGTTCGACAACATCAAAGGCGTGACGGTTGGGAAGTGAAGGGTTACGGAAAATGGGGATATCACAACCATGAGCTGATAGCATACAAAGTGGGGCATCGGCAGTTAAGCGGCCTAAGTCCAGCTGCGAAACTAGTTGTAAAAGAAATGAGTGATGCTCAAGTGAAGCCCGCTAAAATATTAGCGTATGTGTTAGAGAAATTCCCCGAAGACCAGCCAAACCGAAGACACATCTACAACGTCAGACAGAAATTGAGGTTTGAACGGTCAGAGGGAAGGAACCCTATACAGCAGCTTCTGCACCAGGCACAAGCACGTGGTTACCTTTACTGGTTTGAATCTGACGAAGACACATCGGAGGTAACTCATTTGTTCCTTGTCCATCCTGATTGTGCTGATATGATTTCGTTTTGGCCATCTGTGATTTTGATCGATTCAACGTACAAGACAAACAAGTACAAGTTCCCACTGGTTGAGATGGTTGGGATGGCTCCAACGAACCAGAACTTTCTGATTGGTTATGCAGTCATGAAGGATGAGACGGCTGCGAGTTACCGTTGGGTGTTGGAAAAGTTGAGAAACTACATCGGCCCAAATGTACAGCCATCGGCCATCGTAAGTGATTGTGAGGGAGGTCTTTTTGCCCCTATAGCGGAGCTGTTTCCGGAGTCGAGCCATTTACTGTGCACATGGCACATCAACAACTGCGTGAAAGTCAAAGCCTACAATCTTTTCAACAAGAATTTAGTAACAGCAGAGACATTGGTAAATGGTAAGTGGCGGAAGATCATGCAAGCTACCACAGAGGCAGAGTACGATCGAGCCTTGGAAAACTTCAAGGATGCGTACAAGTGGTGCCCGCCAATCGTAGACTATGTGATGCACCAGTGGGTACCTCAGAGGGAAAAGTTTGTCAAATATTGGACGAACCAAGTTCTTCATTTTGGGAACACTATGACATGCAGAGTCGAGAGCGCTCATAGAGCTTTGAAGGACTGGATTGATTCTTCCACGGCTGCTCTGGATACACTGTTCCCTCTGGGCCATGCCGGTGGAGGTGGGACAACTTGGACAAATCCAAGCTGGCGAAGACAGCGCTGCGGCATGTACGCCTCTACGATCTCGCGATACTGAATCAGTCCGGTGTAGAGGGTCCTGGGTACCCTATTACTAGGGTTCTGGCCGAAAGGCATCCAGTTCACCTGCACATTATTTAAAATCAGTAACAGTCATAAAATAAAGCATCAGATTGTAAAAGTAGAAATAATTTAATCACTGTACCTCTAAGGGGGACATCCTGTCAAGCGATAACCGTATGGAGCGCAGGCGGTCAACGGAATTCTTCTCGACACGCGGACTCCACGCACAGGCACGTGGCTGGCCATCACCAATGGGAACCGGGTCGCGGTGTGGTCGAAACGCAGGAAAATACTCGTATATCCAGGTCTGTAACAACGTCAGACATCCAGTGATACCTGCTGCATCAGCCCGGCTCGAGAATCCTAACTGGCGATACAGATACGCCAGCGTAGCCGACCCCCAAGAAAACTGGCCTACTCTGTCGGGCTCACACGCGTCAACTATGTCACGTGGCCTGAGCTTGTTCCCGCTCTTATCCGGAAACAAGGTACACCCGAGAAGAAGAAAAACATATGCAGCCAGCTGTGTGTCCTGCGTCCTACGTGCCGTAGGGTGCAAACATCGCTGCAAGACGGCTGCGATCTTAACGTCGCCGTGATCCCACACACCAAGTGCCGATGTGTACAGCGCAGCCCTATCCACCGCCAACAGCTCCGCTAGTAAATCTGCCTGATCCGCATCAGTGACGACAGATGCTCGGTTTCCCTCCACGGGAATCCCAATGATGGCCTCGACGTCATGCAACATGATCGTCATCTCACCGAACGAAAGGTGGAACGAGTTCGTATCCGGCTGCCATCGCTCAACGAAAGTCGTGATCAGCGTCCAGTCAATCCTGTCGTGCATGGTGGCAGGAAGGTGACTCACTCTAGTGCCCCTCAATCGCCCGACCATCTCGCTCTCCTCCGGCCAAGCATCAGCCCAGCTACACAAAAACCTACAAGTCTTTTCCCGGGTTTGGCATTTCAAAATGCCTGTATCCAAAGCCCTCTCCTGGTCCTCCCAAATACGGGTAGCGATGTGTCCTAAAAAGCTAGGAATCACACTCCCGTCTATAGGTCCCCCGGCCACCTCACCCCTCACCATCCAAGAATCATTAACGGCCCTCGACCGTTTTCTGCTACCCGCAGACACAGTGGACGCAGATGATGTGCCAGATCTACTAACAAACCTACCATCTCGACCTTTACGCACATCTACCCTATGCGTCTCATACGTATCATCAAGCCTCTGACTGAATGGACCGTAATCATCATATGGTCCACTCTGATCATCGACATCCTCATCTGCATCATCCTCGTCCTCGACCTCCTCCTCCTCGACCTCCTCCTCCTCCTCCTCATCATCATCATCATCATCTTGATCGTCCGCAGAACAGTGCACCCGTTCTCTGCGGGCCGAGGCCGAAATACCACGGGATCTAACGTGTCTGGGCCCCGAGCTCTCCATTGAGTAGATCGTACTCCTCACGACGTCAATACTCTTCCCCGCACCAGGTCCAAATTGTGATGCCTAACTCCAAGTAAATAACGAAACATAATAACGAAAACAAATTAAAAAAAGTCGAAAATAAACACAAAAGCAAATAAACAAGTCACGGAAATAAAATTATAAACATAAAAAATATAAATATATACAAGACAATATACATATAAACATAAGAAATATAAACATAAACATATACCAAAAACAAAAAATATAAACTACAAACAAAAAAAAAACAAACATAAACAAAAACAAAAACAAAAAATATTACCAAAAACAAAAAATATAAATACAAAAAAGGACGAAAATAAACACAAAAGCAAATAAACAAGTAACGGAAATAAAATTATAAACATAAAAAATAAAAATATAAACAACACAATATAAATAAAAACATAAAAAATATAAATATAAACATAAAAAAATATAAATATGAACAAAACAATATACCAAAAACAAAATATATAACCAAAAACAAAAAATATAAACAACAAACTAAAAAATGAAAAACATAAACAAAAACAAAAAATCAAAAATGCAAAGAAAAAACCAAAAACAAAAAACTAACAAAACTTAAAAAATTTAAAATTGCAAAAACTTAAAAAAAGAAGAACATCAAAATTTTAAAGAAAATTTATAAAAAAAAAAGGGAACTTATAATTTTTTTACATACAAAAATATAATTCAAAAAAAAAAAAAAATACATAGGAACATAAAATTAAAAATTAAAACCAGAAACAATTTTTTTTTTTAAAAAAAAATAGAACATAAAATTAAAACAAATAAAAAAACAAAATTTAAAAAAAAAAGATTAAAAAAAAAGGGAACATACAATTTAAAAAAAAGAAAAACAAATTTTAAAAAAAAAAAAAAAAAAATTCAAAAATAAAATTTAAAATTAAAAAAAAACAAAAAAAAAATTTAAAAAAAAAAAAGAGAAGGAGGCGCCTAGGCAAGACGCCCGTACGGTGGTGGCGGCGCCTAGCCCAGACGCCACTACCACGGCCGTGGCGCCTAGCCTATGCGCCGCCGCCGTGGTAGTGGCGTCTGGGCTAGGCGCCGCCACCACCGTATGGGCGTCTTGCCTAGGCGCTTCCTCCGTGGTGGTGGCGTCTCGCCTTGGCGCCCCACCGTCGCCGGAGGTTTTTTTTTTTAAAAAAAATTACAAAAATTTAAAAAATTACCTTCTGGCCGGCAAACCGCCTTCTGCCCACCGCCGGTGCCGCCACTTCCTTGCCGGGCCGCCTCGACATAGCTCTGGAAATAATTTAGAGAGAGAAAGTGGAAGTAGAGAGTAGAGAGAGAAATTGTGTTTTTTAGTTTGAGGGCAAAAGTGTCATTTCACTCTTATTTTGTGGGCTTTATGTAGGAATTTGCGGGCGATGTTTAACAGTTCACTAATAAAGACCATCCCTTCAAAATTGGAGAGATTTGGAGGGAAAATGGAGCTCATCATTTCCTCCACTTTCCCTTCCTTCCCGGCCCCTTCCTCCTATTTCCCTCCCTTCCATTTCCCTTCTAATATGTTATCCAAATATAGCATACGTACATACAAGACTATGAAAAAATGAAAAGAACGACAAACCTGTGAGATAGATTGAATTTTCCCAATTGATAAGGAGTAAAAAGATCATCCTTAACACATTTGGTGCCCATATTCATAGCCACGCAACTTGTCACAACCATCTTCCTATTTCCTCTCTCTGCTAACACTATATGTGTCTCTTATTTTTGTTCTAAAACAAGTACTGTTATACAAGTAAAACTTATATAGACGTTAGTTTGAAGGTGGTGTGAGCAAATTTATTCGGTGGTGTGAGCAAAAATGATGTAGCCTACCAAGAATGAGCAGATGAATCATGTGCATGAATCGTCAACGTCGTAGAACACTTGTGTGGAAAAAGTGATCTAGACTAAAGTTCCACGTCTTGTAAAAAGCAATTATGCATGTATCAGTGGACTTTTCACTTTTAAATATTGACTACATTTATTTCTTGCCAATCAATGTGTATTTTCATCATATATTCATGTTATTCATGTCAATAAACAACAGCCTAGTAATTCCTCCGTTTTTTTTATTTGCATTATTTGATGATCACATAAAATATTAAAAGGGTGCATTATATATAGCACGGAGTATAATAATATAAATGGATGAATATTTTATTTGGTAAAACTAATGTGAGAACCATGAAAGTAAAAGTATATGAGAGTATAAATTTTTTGTATGCGACCTGTTGTACCGTGCGACAAGTGTTACTCGAGCTTCTTGATCAGAGGTTACTCGAGTTGTTGAGGTTACTCAAGTTACTCGGTAGGGGTTACCCGAGTTACTCCTGATCAAGTAACCCCTGATCGAGTTACCCCTCATGTAATCCATGACCGAACCCTTAAGTAACCTCTGACCGATTAACACCTTAAGTAACCTTTGACTGAACCCTCAAGTAACCCCTCATTGAACTCCTTAAGTAACCCCTGACCAAATTATTACTCAAGTAACCCTTGACCGAACTCCGTAAATAGACCCTAACTGAGTAACACGAGTAACCCTTCAATTAACCCTTGATCGAGTGCACCTCTTGAGTAACCCCTGTCTGAATCCCTCAAGTAACCTTTGACCGAGTAACTCGAGTAACCCCTGATTGACAAACTCGAGTAATCTCTAACAAGTTAACTCAGGTTACCCCTGTCACATGGTGTGCCTTGCTGCACAAAAAAGTTATTGATGTGAGAGACAGAGTAATGAGTATCATGAAAAAGATAAATGATAAATTAATTTGAGTGAGATTTAAAGTAAAAAAGAGAAATAATAAACTATAATAAAAAATTATTATATATACTACCTCCGATTTTTTTTTTATTTGCAACTAAATAAACATCGGAGGTAGTATATAGAAGTGATGTAAATAAAAAATTAAAATAAAAAAAAAACTCTCACAAAAAAAAAAAAAAAAAAGTGATGCAAATAATAATAATATATTTAAAAAACAGAGAGAGTATTTCTTAATTCCCGTTCAAAGTGTTCACTTTACCTTAAAGTTTGCTGAACTGAAATTATACATATCATGTAAATCAATAGCTCACTTTCCACGAACACCAAATCCAATTTGACAAACAATATGTCTAATGTTTATTTATTTATTTATATTTTTTTTACAGCAGAAAAATCCCAAATTAAACATAAACTAAATTACACATTAAAACATTAGGGGTAGAACCATATAACAACTTTCTATTCGGAAACCAAATAATTTCGGTGGGGTAGAACACTTTTGTTTTTGAACCACTCATCCTGCAAAACAAAGGGTTAGTAAAGACAGAGGAAGGTAAGCTTCTTTTTGAATGACTCTTCCTTCTAGCTCTGGAACGACGGGATGAAGCCAATATCATCAAATTTTGAGAAGATGATACGTTGAGGCAAGCAGGAGACTTCGATGGGGCACAAACAGGAGCAACCGGAAGGGGCACAGACGAACTTTCACATGATGACACTTGATCAACCACACCTATGGTCAACTCTTCTTGTGCCAAATTTGGAGTTGTTTCACACCTATCATGCCCTTTCACAGGGGGGTGACTAATCTCCATTGGTGTTAAAACTTCTTGAGTTTTAACACAGTCTATCTTGTTTGGAATATCCAATACTCGGATGCTAATGAAATCCTTCTTGGAGGAGCAATAGTAGTGTAGTGTTCGTCCCTTAGAAATCGCTCCATACATTGTTGGACTAAGATGCAAATAGGAATCAATACGTTTTCGGTTACAAAACCGATAACTTAACCCTGTAAGATTTGGGTTTTTTGTTTCTGAAGTTGATTTCAGATCAGAATTGTTATCAATAATGTTGGGCCTTTAATCTTGATCGATAGGGTTGACTTTACCCTCTTTCGAATTCAAAGATTTGCCAACAACATCCTTTTTCTTTTTGGTGACATCTTGTACACCAATACACCTACGAACACAACCATCTCCACCACCATCTCCTTCCCATCTCCTTCCCTTTTTTCCCTAACTTTCTCTTTTCTTCTTCCTTCCCAAAAGTAGCGTAATCTCTAAACATTTCATCCTCTCTTGTAACTGCTAGTGCCTCATTAACAAAATTCGGAGACCAACCCAATAAAGATGTCACCTCCTTGAGTTTGTGTTGAAACTCTTTGTTATTGGAATCAATCCTAATCGCTTGTGCAAGATCCATGAAAGCTAAGTCGGGTTTATTGAGCTCTACAGCTGCCACCACCCTTCTAAAATAAGCTTTCACATTAGTAGTATCATAACACAAAACTGCTGAACACAACTGACCCACCTTATCAAAGTTTTTCTCTTTGACATAACAAGCACCTAAGTTAAGATTAAGAGACACAGCAAGGCTCGAAAAAACTGACTTATCTTCATAATAATAGACCATAACAAAAGATAAGATCTTGAGTGCAAGAGAGTATTTTGCAAGCGATAATCCCATATTACCCTCTTTGTAAAAAGTGTTACCTTCATCTTTCAAACCCCTAACAAAGTTCAGAATACCAAAGGATCACCCTCTTCAACATGAGCAATACACAAAATCCCCCTAAGTTCTTCAAAGTTATCCATAAAAAATTATGAATAATAACAACGAACCACACCAAAAGCAAATAGAAATTAAAAATCAAACTATTACACAGAAAGCAAACATGCTTCTCCATAACATAAATAAGCCATACCAAAAGAAACCATTTTGACGAGAATACTTTGGCACAAGAACGAGAGACCCCCAACACATGCGCCGCCGCCGCTGCACCTATACCACTTGGAGTATCCGTAGTTATATGCCAATTCACTAGTCCTTTGATGCGAGAATGGTCTGAGATTGTAAGACCATAAAATCCCCAAAAGTCGAAAAACCAAACCCTAACCCTAACTTTTCTAAAGGAAAATTCGAGCAATTGAGTTAGCTAAGCAAAGCACCGCTCCTAATTAGCCTCGAGGCCGTCAAGAATTGCTCGTCGATGACCTTAATTAAGCTAACGTTGGTCAGGCCGCCGGCAGCAGGGGAAATCTTGAAGTAGTTCTCTGCTTTTAGAGAGAAGGGAGAGCGTTTTTTTTAGAGAGAATGAATTCACCTTAAATTTTTTTTCATGTGATGTTGTATGTCTAATTTTTATTTTAGTGAACATAATACAAGTACTCCGTGTTGTAACTATATTTAAAAAAGTGATATTATCCCTTAAAAAAAGTGTTATTAAAAAAGAATCAAAATGTTGTATATTAAAAAAGAATGGAAAAAAGGTTGTATTATTTTTTGTAAAAAAAAAAGGAAAAAAGATTGCAATGCGCGGTTCCTGCAGGCGGATGCACGATCAGCTTGAGGCATCTCTTTCAAAAAAAAAAAAAAAAAAAACAAAAAAACAAAAAAAAACATCGTATAGAAATGTAAAAAACATTTAGTTAAAGTGAAAAAAAGATGTTATAAAATTGTAAAGAACATTGTATAGATATGTAAAGAATATTTATTATTAAATATTGTTCTCCTATTTTTCAATTCATATTGTTATCGTTATCTTTTTTTTTTTTTCTTAAAACAACATAGCAATGCAATTTCTTCAATTTTCTTGAACATATATATGCACCCCCACGGCCCCACACTAATAAGATTAAGATTAATATGTTAAAAACTTTTCGCCTAACCTTATTAACCTTGTGTATACAATAGGGGTGAGCATGGGACGGGTACTCGTACCGTTAGTACTAACGGTTTGGGTACCCGATAACCAAAATCCCTAAAAGTGATATCCATAACTCGAACCAATAAGTTCGGGTACCTGGAGTTTCGGATCGATATCGGGTACCCAATAAGATATCCAATAATGATAATTAAACTTAATTATTTAGTTATTATGATATAATGTACCACTAATTAACAAAAAATATCATATGATTTTGACCAAATTATTAATAATATTACTAATCATAAATATTATAAATTAATTATGAAATAAAGTAAGAGTTTAGATTGTAACAAAAAAATAGATTTAAGTAAGAGAAAAAAACTAAAAAATGCTTATCCGATCAGATTGGGTAACCGTTAATTTTAAAATGATACCCAATAACCATACCCGATAACAAATTATCAGAATGGGTACCCAAACCGTTATGGGTACCGGATCGGGTACCCTAATTTTCGGAACGGTTACAGATTGGTTTTTCGGATTTTAAGTTTTTTGGATAGTTTTGCTCAGCCCTAATATAAAATGTATACCATAATATTAATAAAAAAAAGTGGCACATTTTATATTTCACGTTTAATTTCACCAAATTTACCCGCGTTGTGGGTGCACCCACAACTAGTTGTGAGGAAGGTGTGTGTGCCCATCTTAGGGGATCCTTCTCCTCTATTCCATGACCCTTTAAAAGCCTAGAACTTTACACTTTTTTAGAATGTATTAGGATTTGAATTCATGATTGTTTGGGAGACCTTAAAGTAGAGATGATTCTATTATTACACTTTTTTGTAAGAAACTAATAAGGAGTCGTCAAGACTTTTTAGGAAAACTCATAAACCTTGTTTGTGCCTTTTTCCCAAGTAGGTTTCAAGGGATATTTAGCATGAATCATAAGTTTATCTGTAGACACCTAAAAATGTCTCCCCAAAATCAAACCCGATGATGAACAACCTTTCACCGCCATTATTGGTCGGATTGAGTATTTAATCTTTGGAGTTCTTAGATCCATGTTTCCATTCAATACATTTCATAAACCAATCCAATTCATAGCTCATTTCTCTGAATCATAACTTACTTTCCACTTTTCGTGTCCACATCAAAAAACCAAGAGAACTGATTTTTTGGCCTTATAATTTTGATCCAATTATTATTTGGTTTGATAGGAATTTTAATAAGCTTTCCAACAATATATCATAAGCCCAATTCCGATTTAAAACAAAGAAGATATGAGCAAAATACTAAACTCGACCCAAAACCAACACCCTTTCCCTAAAACGACCATATCTTAAAATCTAATAATGATTTTGACCTGATTCTAATTGGGTTGGAAATTATACATGACAAGATTTCCAAATGCCTTATTCCAAGTTGTTGATAAAATTTATCATAGTTTTAAAAACGCGTAAAAAACTGGAATTACCGGGCAGTAGCAAAATTGTCGCATCGCGACAATATCTGACGTGGCATGGCAGTTATTACCTGTCATGACAATCTTTACCGTGTCGCAGTACACATACCGTGACAAGGTGATTTTACCGTGTCATTTTCGCATTTTTCTCACGCGCTTTTTTACCGTGACACGGTGTACTGTACCGTGCCACGGTGGACAATGTTGCGTCGTGGCGGCCTGTGCCATGTCACGGTACATGTTTCCTGTCACGGGAATTTCCCGTGTTTTCTCCGTGTACACCTAGACGAGCTTTATTTTTTTAGGGCTGCTGATTTCCCCCGTCACACCAAATTATATCGTGTCGCGACATGCTGCTGACGTGTCACGACATTTATTTTAGGATTTTATCTTTTTAGGGTTCCGTGTGTTCCCTCTACTCATTTTCCCTATAAATACCCCCTCCTTTCTACAGTTCGGGGCACAAAAATTCATTCTCTCTTCCTCTCTTATACACCAAAAAAAATCATTCTCTCTCTCTCTCTCATACTCCAACCTTAAACCTATATCCCTAATTACATCATTCCTTCATTAAGCACTCCAAGGAGTCCATACTTAACCCGAGGTTCCGTCCTTAAACCAAAGCGTAAAAGGTATAATTGACTGAGGGTTTGGACCATATCAACTCTACTTTTTATTTAATTTAATTTTTTCAATTTGATTTATATTTTTATTGAAGTTACTAACAATTTATTCATGATGTAGCAATTTAAAAGAGCGCGTGAAATGTGAGTAATTAATTAATTTAATTACTTATTTTAATTTATTTGTATATTGCTAGTATCATGATTAGGTTAATTTATTATGATTTGATTTGACTAATAATTTATCGTTGAATTGCTTCCAATATTGATGTTTATTTTATTATATTTATTGATCACCATATTGCATATTTAAAGGGAATATGTAATTGAAAATCACGCCTGATAAGATAATTTGGACAACCGGTTTAGGTTCCTTTTTAATCTTGTTATTAATCGAAGTGATCACTAATATTTTAGAATTATATGGTGCATTAATATTCAACCAATTTAGCGTAATGTTAGATTGGAGCATATTGAATCATTGTTTGCATGCCTTTGAGATCACAGGAATCACTTTTCACTATAAGAATCGAGTAGAGGCCAATACAGGAAAATTTGACCCCATGACTCACTTCGTACCATCATCCCCGATCCTCCTTTTGTGGTTCCGAACCATATGGAGTTAGTAATCTCATGGATTATGAATGGGGTGTAACCTTCACGGGTCAATCGTTGTTGCCTTCGTTGTCCCTTATTCGTGGTTGCCTTAAATGATCCGTGAACGGTTTACAAGCTCCTTAAAAATCTTGTTGGTGGCTCCCTACTTTCCTTGTCCCTAATCGTATTATGTTAATTCCCACATCCTATGAGTGCCAAGCATATTCACAACATGCGAACGTAGACGCACTTCAAACGACGCCTACAATTTGGCGACTCCATTGGGGAGGTAAAAATCTTGTTGGTGGCTCTCTACTTTCCTTTTCCCTAGTCGTATTATGTTAATTCCCACATCTTATGAGTGCAAAGCATATTCATAACATGCAAACGTAGGCACACTTCAAACGACGCCTACAATTTGGCGACTCCACTAGGGAGGATTCTTAGTTATATATCGATTTGAGTGATCGATATTTAATTTGGATAAGTGGATGAGACTTGAAAGATTCTTGAACATATTCCTGTGATTAAATTGGCATTTTTACATATGCATAGATGTTTTTACGTCGTATTTCAGGTTTGTCCCGTAGGAAAAATTGGATAATCAGGTCATGAACGAAGAAAATAGGGGCACCAGTCAAATTTCGTGACTGCCGCGCCATGGCAGGGTTTGCCGTGTCACGACAGTCTTGAAATCCTTCTTGTAGCTTGATTTCTCTTCTCACAGTCAGCTTCCTTCAATTTTTCTGAAAAAACGTGTGTGTTCTTGACAGGGTAAAGTCGTATCCTCTAATCAAAAGTATTACCTAAGTCCTCTAACTAATGCAGATAGGGAAGTAGGGTCGAATCCACAGGGAAACAAGTCTTTCTACTCCTAATTAATTATTATAATCTAAATTATCAAGGTAACCAATGTTGTTGTAATTAATGACTATACTACAAAGGATATGATAAGAGAAAATAAAGTAGGGAGAAATTAAATATTAAAAGGCCTAGGGCATAGGTTCACTAATAAAAAATATTCCAGGGAAAATCATAAATAAACAATCATCAAGCATTGATTAATCAGATTGAAGGGTTTTCGCTACGTATTATAATCACAGATTTAATTTACCGGTATTAAATCTCATCTGTC